ATGCTACCCATCTTTGTTTTGCAGGAGAACAAAGGTTCAGATTTTCATTTTAAAAAATATATTTATGAATAGGCTGCGATGGAGAAATGGTGGCAGTCGGAATGCAACTTAATAGAATAACCGAATTGGAAGGGACCTTAGAGGACTGCTAGTCCAACCCCCTGCTCAAACAGGACACCCTATATCTTTTCAGACAAATGGCTGTCCAGTCTCTTCTTAAAAGCTTCCAGTGGTGGAGCACCTACCACTTCTGAAGGCAAGCTGCTCCACTGGTTGACTGGTCTTACTGTCAGAGTTCTCCTTATTTCTAGGTGGTTTCTCTCCTTAGTTGGTTTCCATTCATTGCTTATAATTATTACCTTCATTGTCAGAGTACAACATGCGTACAGTGAGATTGGCTGAGCCTCCCTTTGTGCACCCACACCTATACACAACTCACAGTGAGGACAGAAGTCCTTAACCCAGTCCCAATCTTAATATCCTATGCGACCTTGTTGCACAATGCGCTGGTCTGTCATATTACTTTGACATGAAGTTATTTTCCGTTCAGAAGTTTGACAGTCCACGGGTAGAAACTGTTCTTCACCCTGTTGGTGCGGCTGGCTATGCTTCTCTATCTCCTACCCGATGGTAAGAGAGTGAAGAAGTGCTGACCGGGATGTGAGTCATCCCTGAGGATTTTCCTCACTCTGCTAAGGCAGCGAGCCCTAGCGAGGTCATCTAATGGTATCAGGGAACAGCCCATGATGTTTTGTGCTGTTCTCACCACCCTCTGTAGTGTCTTCCTATCTACAGCTGTCAAGCCAACATATCACACCGTAATGCAATATGTGGGGACACTTTCTATTGTGGAGGTCATTGTTGTTCCACTTCTTGTCCTACCTTCAGTGCTTTGGACAATAGGTTGACCTCCTTTTCTTCGTGGCAGCCCCTTAGATATTGGAACATCACTATTTTGTTATCCTAGTCCTTCTTTTGGTTTTTCCTGCCTAAGTGTTTTCTCAACATTGATTTTCTTTTTGATAGAGAGGGAGGCCCAGTCTTCAAATCTGTCAAGAGCCATCTGGATCTTGAGCCTATCTTCTGGAAAGTTGGCTATGCCTGCCAGCTGCAAATTTGATGAGTTCCCCATCTATTTCCTCAATCAAAATCTAATCCATGGAGCCAGCTAAGGCCCAAAGGCGATTCATTTGAATCCTCCTCTCTTTAAAACAAGTTCCATTATGAAGAGCAAGATTTCTTTCCTTGTCCATCTGAACAACATTAACAACCAACAGGATGTGGGCAGGAAGGAATCTCCACTGCTCCAATCACCATGGTGATTAGTTTTCACTGAACAAATTTAGATGGTCCACACAGCTGACAGCTACAGTTGGATACTGGCCAAACCCTACAAGGGATGAAGCTGGACTGGTGTTTGCAATGGTGTGAAGAATTCAGAAGTATTTCAGGGTCTATTTTTAGTGAATTCACCATCCATCATTTATTGTAATGGCACAACGGTGTCTCTAAACTCTTTTTTTTTTTACCACTGCTGTGCCATAAAACGCTGGCTTCTCTGAAAACGCCTACCTTTTGTGCCAATATCTAGAAAATGAAGGAAGGGAATGATGAATCAGTACAAACATTTTCTATTCCAATGTATGGAGGTAAAGGGAGGAGAGGGAAATTACAAGGAAAAACAAGGATTGTTCGATGCAGAACCAAGCCAAACACTGTCCACTGAACCAAATACACCCCCCTTTATAAAGTGTACAGATCAGTGGTGGGATTCAAATGTTTTTACTACTGATTCTGTGGATGTGGCTAGGTGGGCAAGACCATGTGATTGGGTGGGCATGGCTTTTTTGCAGCAACCCCCCCTCCATTTTTGGGGCCTTCTGGGCCTCAGGTAAGCCTCCTGGGGGGTGTTTTTGCTTCCCAAGAAGCTTCCCTTGGGCCCAGGAAGGCAAAAAATGAAGCGCCCCCCCTCTCCATTTTTTGCCTTCCTGGGCCTCAGGAAAACCTCCTGGGCGAAGCAGTAAGACAGCGTGGGGAATCCCAGAACAGCTGATCATAGGAACAGCTGATTGTTGGGAGGGGAAAAAATACCTTAAGAAGTGACTGGGCAGGGAAGAACGCAGTCAGCAATGTCAGGCGTGCGCGCAATGTTGCGCATGCATGATAAAGACTGACTGGGCGGAGGGGTGACCGGGTCGGGGGCGTGGCCAGCCAGAAGTTACTACTGGCTTGGTGACCCACACCAAATCCTTGCTACCGGTTCACTTGAACCGGTGAGAACCGTCTGAATACCACCACTGGTATAGATAGTCCTCAACTTACAACCACAATTGAGCCCAACATTTATGTTGCTAAGTGAGAAATTTGTTCAGTGAATTTGGCCTCATTTTACTACTTTTCTGAGCACATTCGTTAAGCGAATCACTCTTAAACTAGAAGTATGATTGTTAAGTGAATCTGGTTTTCCCATTGACTTTGCTTGTCAGAGGGTTACAAAAGGAGATCACATGACTCCGGGACATTGCAACCGTCATAAATGTGAGTCAGTTGTCAACCATTCGAATGTAAATCAGGTGACCATGGAGATGCTGCAAAGGTCATAAATTGAAAAATCCTGTGAGCTAGGGTTGAAGTTTGGTCAGAGAGTGACCAGCCCAAAGTCACGTAATGAGCTTTCTTGGATCTCCTCAAACTTAATCTACCACTTTAAGTAGTGCACCACACTGGATCTTATTTTAGGGCAGTAAAAGCATTAATCAAAGATCTGAACAGAATTGTGAACCCCAAATCTTGCTCCAATAATGCTGCTAATTTCAGTGGCCTGCTTTCCCAACGTTTTGAGAAAGGGAGACCCACAGCCACAAAGGAACTGCAGAACAATATTCTTAATGAGTTAAAAAATATACATGCAACAGCAAAACTATTTCCACTTCCCAGAATTGAGGAAAATCTTTACCCTACTCATATGAGAGACAAGGTTCATCCACTCTGCTCCTTACCACCCCAAATGTTAAATGCAGTTCCACTCATCAAAATAATACCCAGCTCTATTCTAGCATTTCAACATTTTGGACATCCTCAAGGGGAAGCATTTTATTAGTTCTTAGAGGGAAGGATATGAAGTTCCTCGAATCAAAAAATAGCAGGGAAAGAACACTCCAAATGCCCAAACCTGATTACCAGTTAAAACCTTCCTACTAGGTCACCCTTCTTCTGGATTCAACATCACCGCACTTCATTCTAAGGAATATCTCCAGAGTACAATTGCTTCAGGCAGTTCTTTGATGGAGAGAGAAATCCCTATTACATTTTGCTTTGGCAAAAGGGCAAATAATATCTATTAATTTAGGATAGTTTTAAATTGCAAATCTACTCTAAGACATGCATGGGGATGGCCAGCATGAAGGGTAGAGTTCACTTCCCGATGAAGCTGCTTGGCGAGTCTCAGTGCAATATATCTTCAGAGGTCTATTTTGGCTAATCTTTTATATCGCAAGAAGAACATGGATCAGAGGTGGTATTCAGCAGATTCTGACCAGTTCTGGAGAACTTGTAGCAGAAATTTTGAGTAGTTTGAAGAACGGGCAAATGCCACCTCTGACTGGCCCTGCCCCCATCTATTCTCTGCCTCCCGAGTCCCAGTTGATCGGCTGGGTCTTCTTTGGTTGCCCTGCCCAGGAGAACAGAGCTGGAAAAAAAAGTTAGTGGGGTGGGGAGGGAATGGGGATTTTGCAGTATCCTTCCCCTGCCGCACCCACCAAGCCACGCCCACAGAACCGGTAGTAAAATTTTTGAATCCCACCACTGACATGGATGCCTCATCTTACATAATAAACATAAGTATAACAAAGTATTTTAATATCATAAGGAATGGTGGGAGTAATGTATAAAGACTACAGGTAAGATTTGTTTTGATGCAAGATTTGAAAGGCAAATTTAAAAGGCATTTTAGTGTCTTCCAAATGTTTGGGATGACAGAGCTTACAAATTCTTAAGTCGGACAAGGTTGGCTGTGGCTGATGGAAGCTGATTCCCCAAATCTCTGGAAGGCATCTTGTTATCTCCCTCTGTTTCAGATTATGGGTTAATTTGCATATCAAATTAAGTAATGGTTTGGTGTTATAAGAATGAGCTGCAGAAAACCTTCCATCTCTACTTCCTCTTCTGGTTCAGACAAGAAAAAAAAATTGAAAAAAATTCAATTAAATCTCAGTCTATTGTGATATCGAAACACGGACCAAATAAGGGTCACCTTTCATGCTTTCATTGAAGCACCTCAGGTTTAAACCACAGAAATTAAGCGGGCTTAATTCAGCCAACAGTCACCATAATTTATGGTTTGGAGAACTCATTCTGCCTCAGATAATCAATAATGGAAACTGAAACTTAGCTATCTTTCTACGACTATGCAGAAGGAAGGAAGAGAAAGGAGAAACATGCTCCCAAGACTCACAACAACTTCTGATTGTCATTGTAACATATACAATATGTTCAACAATCCCTATATTATTGGATTCCCATCATTTATAGGGCCTATAGCGAAGGAAATTGCTGGTCATGAGCTTTCTGGTCATATTTCAAGTTGAGTTGAGACTGTGGGAGATAAAAGGAAAGAAAGAGAGAAGGAAAAGATGGACTTTTGCCCAAAACTAAGGGAACCTTGGCAGAATCTGATAGGCACAAGTGTTCTCAGAAGCTAAGCATGCCCGGAACTGAGGAAGAAAATATCTCCTTGCACAGGAAACAATTTCAGAACCATTTGTAGCCTGATCTCCACAATCAGTAGAAGAAAGATGCCAACTACAGAATGCCTGGCACACACTGTAGGAAAAACAGGAAGTTTTTGTCCATCTACACCCTGGATGGCTGTATATTATCAATCGCGGTGTCCTCTTTATGTGTAATATATGAAGGGAAAAACCACAGGCATAAGCAGATTCATTTTCCTGAACGTAGGGAGTCCAGTTGATCAGAGTAGCAAAGTCAACATTTCTCCTTACCTTCAGGCTCATTCTTGATCATCTCCTCCATCTTCCTCTGTTTGAGAGTGTCCACCACATCTGCTAGGCTTCCTTTACGCCGTTCAGGAGTTCCCAGTGCCGTGCTGGAAAATGATTCTCCACTTTGACGCCCACCTTCGTCGGCCTTCGAGGGGGAGGTAGATGAGTTGTGTGGGGCAAATGAAGACATCACTTTATTGCTATCAACTTCCTGGAAGGGAAAAGAAGGTCATATGTAGCAACCCTTAGAAACATACAAAAACACGTTTGCATGTACATTGGCAAAAAAAGAAGAAGAAGAAGGAAGACCTGTCCTTGGCTTGGTTAATTATTATTTGTTTATAAATGAACATTTACTTCAAAGAACCAGTTGGGATGATGGGATGGGTGAAGTGGGGGATATACAGAAAACAAAGGCTTTCTAGCAACAATAAAACAAGATTACAGGATCAAAAGAGAAAAAAATTGGGAAAAGAAACATTTATATGTATAGCATGTAGGTGTCTGTGTGTATGTCTCTGTGTGTTTATAAACACAAACACAAAGAGAAATGAGTTCTCCAAATGAGAACTGTTGATGTTCACTAGTTTTCCAATAATAAGGTTATGGATTACCTTTAATTGTTTGCTTCTCTACAGTGTTTAATGGTCAACCTTAACAGATTTTTTTTCCCTTTTTGCTGAATAATAATCTATATCCAGTTTGTTTTCTTTTCTTTTATGCAGAGCTTAGTATCAGGATAATGGTTCTTGAAAATGAAACACTCAGATGCTAAATGCCCAGTTCTGTTTTGGTGTCTTCAAAACTTTTCCCATCTCAACATACCCAGGCCATGTGCACACATGCAAACGCTCACACACAAACGCACACAGATGGCCACAGGGTATGATTAAAAAACATGTTAACATGGTAGCCATGCTGGACTGACTGAAACTGTCAGGCACAAAGAATCAGGACCGTAAGTGGCAGTTAAAAAGTTTTATTGCTCAAACCTTTGCACCAGAATCTAGTCAACTAAGGTCCAATACTAAACTGGCACCAGGTAAAGATTAACTGAATTCAAGAGGTGTTCAGCTGAAGACTGTTTGTGGTAACGTATCAATTCTAGGCTGATGACTCACTTAACGCTGCCACCCAGATCTTTTTGCGCCTCTCCTACATCAGATCTACATTTTTTTTTACCCATGTCACACTTTGATTGAACATTTGCAGCTACCACCCTGATTTTCTGACCATTTCCTGCAGACCTCCTTGACAATTCCACCAGCTATTCAATTTTTTTTCCTGCATAATTCAGCTCATTTAGATATTTCTAATTTATTCTCTTCCTTACCCCAGTCCCATATCACTTTTCTGTATTTTTTTAAATAATTCTTTTAAACACAAAGTTCCTGATACGTAGATGGTCATAATGATGCTTGCAAATGCCAGGCCAAATGAAAAGCATCCTCCCCTCCAACAACGGTGAGATGTGACTCTCATTAAAGCCACCAAGCATATTCTCACCAGTTTTAATGGATTTGACTCTTAATAGCCACATTCTGCTTTCTCATGATGAAACCATAATTCTTCACACCTTCCGATATTTCAAATGTTGCTTCCCTCCCCCTGTGCTGTCCTGCTTTGCTCTCTCTCTCGCTCTCTCTCTCTCTCTTTCTCTCTCTCTCTCTCTCTCTCTCTCTCTCTCTCTCTCTCTCTCTCTTGCAAATTTTCTTTTAGTTTCTTCCTGTTAGCATCTCTTAAACTGCCTGTTTTGTTGGTGGACTATAATTGTCTTTCTATGGTCTTTATGCATAACTGAGGTGATGCTCTTTTTCTTAAAAAAAAAAAAAACTGCAGCACAACATATATTAAACTTTAAAGTTGCTGTAAGAATCCTTGTTTTAATAGCCCAACTAAGGTTGGGTTCAGTGGTGGGATTCAAATTTTTTTACTACTGGTTCTGTGAACGTGGCTTGGCTTGGTGGGCGTGACTTGGTCGGCATGGCAGAGGAAGGATACTGTAAAATTCCCATTCCCTCCCCACTCCTGGGGGAAAGTTACTGCAAAATCCCCATTCCCTCCCCACCCCACTAACCTGCTTTCCAGCTCCGTTCTCCTGTGCAGAGCAACCAAAGAAGACTCAGCCAATCAGCTGGGACTGGAGAAGCAGAGAATAGAAGGGGCGGGGCCAGTCAGAGGTGGGATTTGCTGGTTCTCCGAACGACTCAAAATTTCCGCTACCGATTCTCCAGAACTGGTCGGAACCTGCTGAATACCCACCTCTGATTGAGTTTCATATTTTTTCCAGTTCAGGACACTTTTATCCCATTTCTGCTTTAATTTGTAATTTTTAAAAATAACTTCATACAGAAACCTGTAAGCTTTTTTTTTTTGGGGGGGGGGTGTTTCATATTTCTATAATACAAACTTCTTTTAATATACCATTTTATAGAACATAGAAAAATAGGGTTGGAAGGGATTTTGGAGATTTTCTAGTCCAGCATCTGCCCATGGCAAGAGATCCTCCTGTACCATTTTGGACAAATGCCTCAGCAACCCAGAACTTCTGGAGTGAAGCCATTCCACTGATTAATTGTTCTCACTGTCAGGAATTTTCTCCTTAGTTCTAGGCTGGATCTCTCCTTAATTATCTTTTCTACCTGTTACTCCTTTTTCCTGCCCTAGGGTGCTTTGGAGAGTAGGTAGACCCTCTCTTCTCTATGACAGCCCCTAAGTTACTGAAAGACTGCTATTCTATCACCCCTAGCCCTTCTCTTCGTTAGACTAGACATACATAATTCCCTCCGTAACCTTAATCATGGCAAAATAAAATAAAGGTGTTCTGCAAATTTGTCTTGAGGCACATGCAAAACTCTCTTAAACATTTAGTTCTTCCTTGACAAAATTCAGAAGATTTGGGGAAATCTCGTGTTACAATAAAACAGCAGGCTCAACATTCTTATGCTTGCCTATCCTCTAAACTAGGATTTTAATCTTGGCTTCCTTTTGTTTCTGGGAACTACAAACATGATTAATCCAGATAAAGTATTTAAAGTAAGAGCAACCAATTCATTCACCCTTTATTCTCAAGTGTCTCTCGTTAATATTTAACGTTAAATTTCTAACATTGATCTAAGTTTTCTAAGAGAGCAATTGACAAAAACCACAATTTCCTTGAAATACCAAAGAAGCAATGCCTTTGAGTTAAGCTTGGTTCTTGTTTCATATTTTTGGTGGCAATTATGCAAGCAATCTTCTTTCTTGCTTCTGAGGTTTCAGTATAGCCTACAATCCTGAAAATCCCCCATCCAAATATTAACCAAAGTCTACCCTGCTCAGCTTCTAAGAACATCTGAGACCAGCTGGAGTAGATGATTCCATTTATTAAGAAGGAAGAAGAATTTATTAGGATGTATTTTTATTAGACTTTAGTGATAATTTGTTAGAACTCATCATTTATTATTAATACAAATTAATAATTTTAACATTTAAGAATTCATAGATTTGTTCCTTCTTTAAGATGGAAGTAGGATTGTTTTGACAACAATATATTTAGTTTATTTTAGTTACTATCATTAGGAAAGGGAGAGGTCTACCTTTTTGTTGCTGCTATATTACTTATATTTCATTATTGTAAAAGTAATTTATTAGTTTTAAAAAATACAAAATTATCAATGAAAGGGGGAATGCCATTAATAAATGAAAGTGAAAATCAGAAATAAATCACACATTTAGGCAGGACTTCCATCTCTATTTTTCTTTCTCTTCCCTCACTCCTAATTTTCCCCCTTGAAGACATTCGTTCTCATGCTTTAATTAAAACATTTCCATGTTTTAATTATTCTCTATTAATTAAAACATTAATTAATTAAAAATTCCTGTGTTTTAATTATTCTGTGTTCTGTATTCCATGTTCTGTGCTCATGTTACTGGCATTTCAACCTTCGTATCTTCATGTTTCTATCAACAGATTTATGAGGTTAACTTGTGTGTGTGTGTGTGTGTGTGTGTGTATGTTACACACACACACACACACACACATGTTTATACATGTAGATGTATGAA